AAAAGACAAAATTCAATTACATACTGTCCACTAGAAACCTTTCCTAAGTATAAAGAAAAATGTAGGCTAAATATACAAGTAAGGAAAAGGATTTGTCATGCAAACTTGAGCTGCCCAATAGTAGTTACACTGATATCAGGCAAAGTCAACGCCAGAACAAGAAATATTTTAGGGATGTATATTTTAGGATGATGACATGATGATGTGAGGTCAATTCTTTAAGAAAACATGAAAACTATACTTATGTATATACCTAATAAAGCTTTATAATTCATGAAACAAAAAACTTAAAAAGTTTAAAGAAGACATAGAAAAATCTGTAATTATTCTTAGGTACTTTAATACCCTCTCTCTTCATTAGGATATTAAGAATTAACTTGTCATTATTGACAAATATAGAGCACTCTATGCAACAACAGCAGAATAACAAGTTTATATAGAGCATTGGCTAAGAACAAACCTCAAAAAATTGAAAACATTGAAATTCTGCAAAGTGTGTTTTAGTCCATTAAAAAATCAACTGTGGGTCAGGCATGGTGGTGCACCCCTATAATCCCAGCAGCTTGGGAGCCTGAGGCAGGAGGATCACAAGTTCAAAGTCAGCCTCAGCAACTTAATAAGGTCCTAAGCAACACAGTGAGACACAGTTTCAAAATTAAAAGGGGCTGGGGATGTGGCTCAGTGGCTAAGCACCTCTGAATTCAATCCTTGGAACCAAAAAAAAAACAATCATTAGTGGAAATTATTATAGCTCTTTTGTAATATGAGTCAAAGAAGAGCCTCCCTCCAAAATAAAAAAAATATTTTGTAGGCAATTAAAGCAGTAGAGAGTGAGGGACTTATTGCATTAAAGAGCAAACTAAATGCAGGGAAATCAGAAGGAAGGGAATGTCTGTCCAAGGCAACAGAAATCAACGAAGTCAACAGCAGCAAAATCATAGCATCAATGAAACCAAAAGTTGCTCATTTGAGTGATAAAATCCTACCCATACTGGCCACAAAAAACAGACAACACGATGATAATATCATAAATAAGAGAGGGACATTAGTTTTAAATTCTATGTCGAAAAGACAATAAGGGATATTATGAATAATTCTTTGCCAACTGAAAAAAAAAATGAACAGCTTTCCTTAAAGACAAAACTACCAAGGCTTGCTCAAGTAAAGAAAGACTGAATAGTCCTAAGAGTCTTTTGAAGACAGTCAATTTCTAGTCAAAACTGTCTTAGCCACATAATCTTACTGTTGAATAGTATCAACATTTTGAAAGGAATGATAGCAGCTCTAATTTGAAATTCCAGAGAATCTAGGCGTTGAGAACATATTCCAAATCATTCTATGTGACTAACTTTACCATGATAACACAGAACAAGAAGAAAGAAGAAATATATACACAAATTATAAGAAGAAAACTGCACATCACCATCCCTCATGAATATGGCTGCAACAACCCTGAGGATAGATCAGCATTTTGAATCAAAGTTAAAGATTATGACAAGTTGATTTTTCCTGGAATTCAAGGTTGGCTCGCCATTTACAATTCAACTGAAGTTATTTACCATGTGAGTCGACTAAGGGAGACTAATGATAGTGATTTCCCTCATAGTTTCAGAGGGAAGAGGCATTTGGCAAATGCAAATCGTAGGACCATGAGCTCATCTTGAAACACACCTGAATGATGCCAACAGAATGATACGGAGAGCAGGTTGAGGACATGAAGGCAAGGCCCACCATGGCTCCAGACAACTCTGTTGAGCTACAAGGAAGGAATTGATGGACATGAAAATTACAATCTTAAGTGATATTTTCTATAGACAGTTCATCTAGAACTTTAAATAGCTAGCAGAAAAATTCATAATGTGAACTATTTTTCCTTCAGCTTTTAAAATTGCATGAGGTGTTTTTTCTCTAGTGTCTTTCATATCACCTGAAATCCAAGCACTAGAATGTAATCACCTTTAATATTTTATATGCAAGTTCTTATTCTTATACTTTTCATTTTGGAATTTATCCTTTGTCCATCTTTCTTTTGATCCCCCCAAAAATGTTTTTCTCTATATATCTGATTTTGGTATTGCATTGCCACAAAACTTTGTCTTAGTTTACATTTTTCTCATATATTTTTAGAACCAGTTACTTTAGTTTTCCTTTGGCACTGCTTTAGCTATTTATGCTATTGAAATATCAGTCCCACCAAAAAGAGGTTTGGACCAATCGCACTTATTTACAAGGATGAGCCATTTGATCTTTAGTAATTTTAATTTGGGGGCGGTTCTTTTAATTTTTCCAATTCATTAGTAAAGATAACATGCTTATTCTTTTGTTTATATTCTTTTGCAGTCTGTACAGGCTCTGGTCTTTGTCTATCCCTAGAAAATTTTCAAATATCAATCCCCCTAGATTATGCATTTACACGAAAAATGGATGGAACCTCTATTTTTCCACAAAACATCAAGAATGGAGAGTACTGATTCTGTCACGCAAAATAACTTTAACTCTTCCTTCACTGTTCCTTCCCTGAAGGTTTTATCCCATATTCAATCTGATTTCAGATATTTTTCATTTTGAAAATATATCTTGTGGTATATGTATTTTAAAGACTTTTGACATTTATATTCTCTTTTAAATTTATATTGTAGTTAATTATGACTAATTCTACATTTGTCTGGCTTCAATTCCACCACAACTACACTTTAAAAAATAACTCCTTCCCTAGTTCTGGAGTTATTTCTTTTTTGGTTTCTTTCCTCCGTGTGGAATATATTTGGCCTCTCATATCCTTACCTGGTTACACTTAGGTACAGGTGTCTTTTATTAACGTGTCTGGCAAATTATAAAGCTTTCCATTGATAAATGGAAGGGTAGATAGATTCTTCATTCTGTCTTTAATCAGTGCTTGTATCTTATTTATTCTCTCTTCAAGAAATCTCTCTCAACATTGGATTGCCATTTCTTTACCCACATTGATCATTTTGTCAATGATTTTCTATCATTCTACTCTATTACTCTACATGGGAATATACTCTACATGGGAATTTTGCTCTGTAATGGGTCTGATAAGAGTCCAAGTCCCTTTTATTTACTATCCTCAAGAACTTGGAGATCACTAATCCTTTCTACAAAGAGTGGGCTCTGTCCCTAGGCTTGTCCTTGAGTCTAGAGCTCACCTGTCTAGATTAAAGAAGTGTCAGCTATTTTCCAAATACGACTGTCCACTGAGCCAGCCACGCAGGGCTCACAGTCTGGGCACTGCCTTTCCCTGAATCTGGGTTGGTTCTACCATATATTCTTGATCAAGAGAACACACCAGCAGTGATACTTGTGTGATTTTTGAGGCTGGGCCATAAGAAGCCTTGATGGTTCCTCCTGAGCTTCTTGGAGTGCCCACTGTGGGGGAAGCTAGTCACCTTGGTAGAGGTGAGCTATCCTGAGATGGTCATACTGGAGGAAGTCTAAGTTAGTCACATGAACCAACCCAGGCATCCAACACATAAGTTAAGAAGGCTTATTTTAAGCTCAGGAGTTTTGTTTTGTTATGCAGTAACAATTGACCAGCACAGAAAGCTTAATTGATTCCGACAGGATGTAGTCCACTAATTTCACATGACATTCACTGTTTTCTTAGGTAGTGGACTCTCCAGTAATGTCAAGTCAATCATTGCTGCTTCCTTTTGTCTGATTCCACTAAAAACTCTTTAGTTATCCAGCAACATTTTCTTGATTTCTTTAAAAGGATATGCTCAGGTCTTATGCAATTTATAGCCATTAGATTTATAATCTCTATTGTTTTTAGCTGATCATTTCAGCAGGATACTGGAAGTGTGGAGGTAGAATAAAACACTCAATTTTCCTTTGATTCTATAAGTTCTTTGAAGTAAAGACTAAAGCTAATCAGTTCTTTTAAAACATTGAGTCTAAATCCTTTTTGTTATCTAAACTGGTTCTTTGCTTTTATAAACCCAATAAAAACTAACTTATGAATTATTGCCAAATTTTTGACCTCTTTTTTTTAAAAAAATGCTTGAATCAAAAATAAAATATATTCAATACTGAATACAATGATTGATTTTTAAAATTTTAATTACCACTGTGTCAACCCCTCCTCTTATCTCTACCCTGAGATGCCCCTTGCTTTGTGAGGCTGTGAAAAGCTTTAACGTTAAATACCACATGGAGTGCAAAGAGGAAAATCCATACATACGTGATCAACTGCGCAACATCATGGTGCTTTCTGCTGAGCAGGCTTCTCCCCCTCCATTTAGAAAAGTTTTCCAAGGTGGAGGAAGCATTTGGGGTTATCACTATCTTATCCTCGTCCGTCCAGATTTCTATCCCAACTAATGCCACATAAGCATTGAGTTTTTTATAAAGCTGAGCAAAGAGAATAAATGGCAAAGCAATGAGTTATCATCAGATATTATCTTATTTTGATACCTCCAAGGAACTTTATTTTGTAAAACATTCATAACAGCACTGTAAAAACCTTTTTCCAAACATATTAGTGAAACACAAATTACCATGTCTTTTTGCAAATGCAAAAATTCCCATTCAAAAAGAAATACAGATGACCTTAGTTATTTGGAGTCTATAGACTCCTTTTTGTAGAGCAAAGGCTCTGCGGACACAAACTTTTTTGCTGTGACCAAAAGAAATGCGACAATGTTATGTTAACAGCTTATCACTATGGCTTCACTTAAGTATATTTATTCCTATGTTTTTCAATATTCTTATAGTGATAATATTTAACAGTTGGCCACATTGGATCAACCCTGGTTTGAGCATTAATGAAGCAACATATTACAAAAAAAAGTCCTACATCCATGATAAGTGATTGCTGTGGTCTGAATGTTTGTGCCCCTCTTTGCCACCCCCAGATTCACACATGGAAGTCTTGTTTTCCAAAGTGACTGCAGGGCCTGTGGGACGTAAGTAGGCTGTGAAAGTGGCTGCCTCTAGATTGGGCTTAGGGTCCTTGCAAAATGAGCCTCAGGGAGCTGTCTTGCTTCTCCTACCAGCTGTGGACATAGCAAGAAAGCACCATCTATGAGCCTGAAAGTAGGCCTTGCCAGTTACCAATGCTGCAGGCACCTCAATTTTGAACTTCCCAGACTGCAGAAGTGTGAGAAATTAGCTTATGAGCTACCCAGTCTGTGGCATTTTGTGATAGTAGCTTGAACAGACTATGACAGTCATCCTGAACTTCTTAAGCCTGGACTAAATCAAATCATCCACAATGTAGATGAGATAAACTTCAGAAGTCATGAGTTAAGTTTCCCAGACAATATGCTTACTCTAAATATAAAGCCTAATTTGTTACTATAGTTTCTAAACATTCTCAGTGACAGAACTTCTCATGGCAACATCTGCTGGGAGATTGGAACAAAGTTTTGTTTTGTTTTCTTCATAAAGTTATTTGGAAAGCCAAAAAACCATCAAAGAATTCAGTTATTAAAAGAGAAGCCAAAAAATAATTTCAACCAAATTATAATCCTTCCGGAATCTATATATTTGAAGATAGAACTCCACCTAGACTTTGTCTCTGAACTTGGATCTTATAAAGTCTACCTATCAGCATTTCCACTTAGACATATTAAAGGTATCCCTTTGTTTCTGAATCAGGATCCCAGTCTTTCCCCTATTCAAGAATTCAGCTCTCTCATCAAATTCACTGTCTTTTCCCCCAGCCACCGTCACCTGTTGCCCAGAATTGTGTCATGATCCCCCTGCTGGCCTTCTTGCTTCTGCCTTGACATCCCTTCAGTTTATTTTCAGTCATTCAATCTTTCAACCATGTACATCTGAGACACCGCACCTCAGCCCTGGCTCTCAGTGCTGGCCTCACTCATGAAGAGTCATGCAAAGTCCCTTCTGAGGCCACAGGGTGCTCAGGGCCTAGTCACCCGATCAGGGAGACATGTCCTCTCACCTGCCCCACAGTACCGCATCCCAGCCGCAATGGCCTTCCTGCCCTCCCTCAAACCTGACAGGCCAGCTTCTGCCCCCAGGGCCTTTCCTCTGCCTAGCACACTCTCCCTGGGGCCCCACTGCTCCAGGTCCCTGCTTGAATGCCCCCTTATCAGAGAGGGCTCCTTTACCGCCTCTACCCCCCGTGATGGACCCTCCCTCTCTCCCTATTTGCACTCTGTTGCACTTTTCTTTTTGGCACCTGTCTCCATCCAACATCCTAGTTCCTTATTCATATTTGTCCCCCTGATAAGAAGGTGAGATCCTTGAATGAAGGGACTTTTGTCCATTCTGTTCTCCACTCTATTTCTGCAACAGAGAGGAGTACCCGGCACAAGTTAGGTGCTCCATACTGTGGCTGGCTCTTGGGGTTCATTCAGAAGAGTTGGGGTGATTCTTGCCATGAGAAGATAAGGCCTGACCTCGGTTACTGAATCCATGCTCACCTCTGTCTGTCTTTAGAGCATTTGCAGGACACCACCCTCATTTCAAACTGAGGATGCCAACCAACTACTTATTCAACTAACAAGAAACAAATAGCATTTAACTAACAGGGAGGTACAATGATTTTTAAGATTTGGAAACTGGATGATATGATTATGTCTAAAGAATATTATTCAGTTGTTTAACTGAAGAAGATTCTAAAATGACAGACCTTTAAGTTGTCTACTTAAATCCTATCTATTGTTTTCTCTGTGACCTTGCAGGAGTTACTGTGCTTCTGAGGATATAATCCCTCGGCTATATGTTAAGTTTTAGTAATGTTTTATTTAGGTTGTTTTAAGGAGTAAATGAGATAATGTGTAGAAAAGGTGCTATTGTGCCAGAGACGAGTCTATTTTTGTTTTTGCTTTTCTTGTTTTCCCTATACCACCTTTGCATTGGGATTTGATTTTCTTAATGGATTTCAGGCTAACAAAAAGTACGTACCCTTTTTACCCTCCTTAAAAAAAAAAAAAAACAGGTTTCATGAACCTAACAGTGTGGTACATAGATGAGAAACGTCTCTAACATGTGATACTGACCTGACGTTCAACTAAGTATCAAAAGTCACAGTCATGACTCAGAAGCCAGTCAGCAACTGCAGTCTTGGGTCTTGATCTTCTTTCTCAGATCTTTGTGCATCCATAGAAAACCCCAATGATACCTGCTAGGACAATGTTTAAAAATCCATTTAATAAAATATATCCTACCATGTTGATGTGATTGGCCATCTCAAATACCCTCTTCCTTATTTCATCCAGATCTTCATTGTACTTCTTAAACTAAAAACAATCAAGACAGAAATAGGCATTACTAAAAGTTAATATAATTGGAAGGTAAGAAAGGTAGCTGTACACATTCTTTGTCAGTAACACTTAATGTTAGGAATGAATTGATTCCTTATTTCTCTAAGCTCTTGGGAATTTCCAAAATGTATTTCCAGTTAATTTTTTCATGGTTTCCTGAGGGGTACAGAGTCAGCTGGGCAGAGGGATAGCTCATTCGTTAAAAAAAAAAAAAAAATGTGAGCAGTAAATTAATTCAATGCAAGAGAAGCTAACACTGTAACTTGCTCATATTTTGTTAACACAGACTTTTGTTTTTGATATTAAACACATGGACACTTGTTTAGAAAACCTACTACATGAAAATGCATTCTTCTAAAAGAAGATAAGTAGTGACTATCACCGATCATTTGCCTTTTACTGAAGACCCCATTCAAGCGAGTGTTACTGCTCGCTGAGGCACAGGCATTCTAATTTATAAATGTTAACTACTTCACAGAAGATGTGACAGAGAATTTAACTGGAAACTAAGTCTGAAGCTTGTCAGACAGCAGGAAAGGGCCATTATAGGGCCAATAACTTAATTTATGCATATAGCATCACTGATGTTTCTGAAAGGAGAAACCATATAGATCACCATGATTACAGATACCAAATTTTGGAGGCTCAGAGTAATTTGTAGCTATAACTAATATTTATGATTTGTCAAAACTGATCCTGAAATTTACTCTGTCACATAACAAATAAATTAATGTAAAGGAGGATTTTAAAAGGTATGTTCATCTAATATGATTACCTCACCATTATCCAGGACCACATAATATTCTATGTATTTCTTACGTTCCTGAAGCTTCTGGTCATTCAACTTCTGAAATATAAGGACAATTACTTTTTCTGAAAGTTTTTCTTTTACTTGACAAGTGTTATTTTTACAAGAAGTTGGGTGATCACTGGGAACAAAGAGAAACAATATTACCATTTTATCTCCATATATATATATGCAGAGAGAAGGTTCAGAATGTTCAAGACAGAATGGACATCTGTAATATTCTAGTATGATCCTTTCATTTTACCAAATACTTTAAATGATTACATAACTAATTTTAAGTGGGCTGGAACTAGTCTTTGGGTATTTTGAACAGTAAATTTTCCCTACTATCTTGTCATAAAATAGACAAACTTTGACTCCAACATCTTTGCTGGGTTTTGTGGTTGTTGTTGTTTTTCTCCTGACCCTTTACTCCTATCTTGGTTAATACCAGTTGCCAAATGCCATTGTCAATGGTTCAATGCCCAGAGCCACCATAGCATATACCCTGCTCTCTTTTCTTCTCTTCATGTAGAGATGAATCTCTTTCCTTTCTAAGGAAAACACAAAACTTTTTATAGTGGATTGTGACATTGAAAAGTGACTGATGCAGTAATAAATAATAAACAATAAAACATCAAAGTCTATTAGCTTGTTTTCTGAAAGGCCTTATCTTTTAATAGGTGATTAAGTTTCCATTACCAAGAACAAATTACTCAAGGTAGATTTTTTGGTATTATGTAATGAGATTTGTACTTATCTCCCACTCTCCACAGGAACCAAATATTTAGTAGCACTTAGTAAGCACTGACAGTGTTCCGGGAACTAGGAATACAACAGGGAAATAGACTTGTTCTTCTGCTCAGGGAACTCACAAGAGACACACACACATGGATCAGATGATCATTAGCATTGTGGGCTAGACTAAGTGGCTGATATGATGTTGAGTGATTAGATACTTATTTCAAAATAGATGGTTAGAAAAACTCCTTTAAAGAGCTGGCCTATAAGAAAACATATTAATAAAATGAGAACCAGGGAAAGAAAGATAAAAAGGAAGATCATTCCAGCAATGAAAAAATATTAGTGAAAAGACTCTAAGGTAAATTTGATTGGTAGGTTTAAAACACAGAAAAATAAGTTAATGCTTTTCAGAACACAATGGAGAAAGATCATCAATAGGTGGGGAGTGCAGAGTAGGAGTTGGGAGAGGGAAACAGGGCCCTAATCATACAAGGATCCGGAACCCATGGTCAGTGGTTTGATTTTTACACTGAATCAATGGGAAGTCAATGAGCTTTAACTAGATAAGGAATGCAATGTGATTTACAATAAGAAATTCATCTGGCCTAGTGTTTGGAGAGTGGATTCTGTTGAGGCAGGAGTGGGAGCAGAAGGTCAGCCTCTGTTGCCATGGTGATTGTTTGATGATGGGGGGAGGGCCGTGGGAAAAGGCAGGAGAGTAAAGATCTGGAATGTATGGGGAAGCACTTGCTGACAGATACAGGCTGAGGAAAGAGAAATCCTCTCCAGATATGGCCTTGATTGGTGATGAGTGGCGGCAGGAAGAGTTGAGACAGGAAGAGGGCGAGAGACTTAAGTTTTGTTTGGGGCTTAAAAATCAGTAGTTCTGCTTTACCATATTAAGTTTGTGATACTCATTATTTAAATGGCTATATCAGGTAGGTGGTTAATTATAACAATCTGCTGGTTAGGGAAGAGGCCAAAACTGGAACCGCAGCTACTACCAATGAGCACAAAGTCTTATTTTAAGAAGGCTTAGGACAGAAGGAGGTGACCCAGGAAGAACATGAGATGAAGCAAAGAAAGGCAGCTGGAACTGAGGTCCTCTAATATTTAGAGGTCAGTCAAAGAAGGGGATAACAGGGAGGAACTCAGAAGGAGGAGCACTGGCGAGGTGGGAGGAGAGCCAGAGAGAGAATCGGGTCAAGAAGCAAAACCAGCCCTGCATGGTTGCCAAGCTGGTGAGACAGGAGGACAAGAGGCCTGTCAAGGACCACAAAGGTGACATTCACAGTGATGTGCAGCCAGGACTGGTTCTTCTGTCTTGTTAGATAGTTCTGGTATGACATAAACCCACAGCAGAGTGAGCTCACTGTGAGCTCACTCATAACCTATTTGCCCAGTGCTGACTCTGAGAATATTAAGAAGAGATAATTAGATGTAAAGGAGATCCTGAAGGAAATGTAAGCAATAAATGACAAAGATATTTTAACACCCGCTTCACAACTTAAAACACAAAACTGTGTTGATTTCTTCTCTGTGACTACAAGCTCAACTCCAGAGAGGAAAGAAGATGCTGTGTTCCTGCAGACACAGCCTGCATCTATTTTGCTCCATTCTCTATTCCTAGCACCCGAGGAAGTAATACAGGAATGAAGAAGAGTTGCATGCATTTGTGAAGGGAGCGGGCTGTCATCTCAAAACATTAAACATTGCTCTTGACACTTTTCTGCAGCTCTAGAGAATACTGTGACTGGCCTGCTCCTAGAGGCAGGTATTACATTTTACTATTTTCTAACCCTTGAATTTTGTTGATAATGAGAATGGATCCATAAGTACTTGTTAAATGAACCATGAATGCACAACAATGTTTTATGATTAGTGTTTCTATAATCTACTAATTTCAACAAAGACTAAAATTTTAAGTCATTTGTGCTGCTAAGACTGGAACCTAGGACACAATGCATTATAGAGTCACAATAAAAATGCAGAATTGTGCGTACAATCAGTCTGGTGCTGTGCAGGCTCACATTCTGCTGCAATCCAGGTGGCCATGACACATCATCCGCGCCACAGGTACCATTAACCTTGTCTTCCTCAGCGTTGTACTTGAAGAGTGCATGCTCCTGTTCATCCTGATTTGTGTGGCCTAAAGGTTCAATGAAGTACCTTTGGTCCCCCTGGCTGAAGTAGCCCCTGCACAGCATGAGAATTCAAGATAGTTAATAAGATATTCTTGCACTGGGAAGTAAGGCTGTAGAAACTCCAGAAAGGGACCTCACAAAATTGTTAGTCAATTCCAAAGCAGTTTAATCTCATGTCTATAAAATATAATGAAACTTACAGTTGAAGAAGTTTCTAAATATTGCCTAAACTTATTTTCTCCATATGGAAATAAGACCTATTAGGGAGTAGGGATTACTATGATGTCATATAGCCAACCATGTCAGTTCTGGCATTTAGAGGGACATTTCCTGACTCATCCAGTGTTCTTCTGAAGATGTCAATGTCTTATAGATAAAGCATTAAAATCCTAGGTCTGTCACTTATTATCTATGATACCATGAAAAGATTATGTAAATTCATTCAGCTTCAATTTCTTCATCTATAATATGCAAATATAATACTGACCCAATAGGATAATACTAAAAATCAAAAGAGAAGAAACATGAACAACACATGGTCAATATTATCAATTTCTTCTCAATTCCTGTAGTGAAGGGGCCTGAGCTAAGATCCCTTCAAATAATATTTAATGAGTGCCCATTATTTATTAGGCATTGGTCACTGTATTTTCCTTCTTGGAATTTGTATTCAACTGAGAAAAATGGATGTGTATCAAATGACCACTGTGTGTGTGTGTGTGTGTGTGTGTGTGTGTGTGTGTGTGAGAGAGAGAGAGAGAGAGAGAGAGAGATAAATGAGTAAAATATATAATTATAACTGATACTAGTATGACAAAAAGGTACAAGAGCACATAATAAGGAGACTGGATTAAGTGTACCTAGAACTGGAAGATATCAATAGTGGATGTTGGCAGATGACATCTCATGTCTTTTGCAATGGTTTGGATAAAGGAGCACAGTAGCTGGGTGGTCTAGAATGTTGCAGCTGAGATATAGTGAATAGCAGGAAATATTTAAAAGATGTAATTAATCAGGGTCGACAAGTAAGAAGTCTAAAGGAATTTGGGATTCTGGATTGGGCAATTGGTAATTTGATTATACCATTGACTGAGATAAAGAACTCAGGGAAAATATCAGATTTGTGAGATAATCATTAGTTCTGTTTAAGGCATATTGAGATTGAGATTCTTTAAGATTTCCAACTGGAGATATGGAAGAGGAAATTAGATAATCAAGTCTAAGCGTCAGAAGAGATGTCTTACTGTAGACAGAGGTATGGGGAGCTATTATCAGACAGAAAGAAAGGAATGGATGTTGGAGTCCTGTGTGCAACCAGCTGGAGGGAATTCAGAGTGGGTAGAGAGGGTGGAGAGATTCTGACTCTAAAACTGAGTCTCAAAACCCACATTTTAAAAACAAATAAGCAAGCAAACTCTGAAAGCAATTCAGATGTGAAATTTACAAAGCACTATAAAAAGAAACGGTATTTCCTTCATGTTTCAAAATTTTAGAGCCCTCAAGATTCACACCCAACTCTGGCATAATCAATTGTACTTGAGCACCTTCAGATTTGTTACACACACATACACACACACACTATAACCACAGGTTCACCCAAAACATTCACAGAGTCTTACTTTAGACCCCTACATGTGCTGATGCTCGCATCAGAATCTGGCTCATTAAGGATGTGTCCTTGATAGTAACAGTCATCCTAGAGGAAAGGAAAAGGTGTTTTGTAAAGGAAAGTAGTCACAGGTTTTGCATTCCCTGATAAATCTGAATTTGAAATCTTGAAATAGGACCTATAATGCTTTCAAACTACTACTTCTGAACAACAGCTAATTTAATGATATTAAAAAGTAATGAAATAAAACCTTTTTATGTATTAAAATCCTTAAAGAATACATAAATACTGATAAAGTATTGATTTCATATCGGTGACAAATTGGAGATATTTAAGGTAAGAAATGTGATGGTTTGATTGATGTTGCTGAATTAGGAATGCTCTTTAGAAGAAAAATAATATGTATATCTCATAAATTTATATATATATAAATTTAAAATCTGAGACCCCCAAATAGTAGATATTTATTCTTCCCTTTAATGGCAAATGTGCCATTAAATTATTAATGTATCATATTTTTATTAAATGTCTTCTAACATGCCCCTGTTCCCCCAAATGATGCATTTTTCAGGTTGTATTTTTATTTATTAATGTATTCAGAGTTTCACCACATTTAAATGAATTCTCACAATATTCTACCATCTTTCCTTGTGGGTGTCCCATGAAGGACCTCTTGGTCTGGGGACAGATGAGAGACTGGCCCATATGTTACTGCTATAATCGGGAATATTTGAAGGCTTGCAATGGAAAAGGGAACTCCAAAAGGGAGGCACCGTCCCAGGCTGTCAGCTGCTCCGTCTGAACAAAGTGGGGCTCTGGAAGGGCGTCAAGAGCGGAATTCTGCAGCTGCCCTGGAGGAAGCAGCAGCCATGAGCTCCCCTAACACAGGGAGCGACAGGAATGCTGGGGAACACACCAGGACACGAGGGTGTTTAACTCCACACTGTTGAAATAACCCCAAAGAAAACTCTAGAGAAAATAACCTACTCCTGCCACCACCTCCCTTCAAAGCTGGAGAAGATGATCCGAGTTGTCATGGCTTTGTGCTTGGTAAATGGAAAAACAATGGAAAATCATTTAAGTAGCTACTACTACAGAAAAGAAGGTACCACGGCTGTGGGCTCAGTCCCACTTCCTGGCAGGGACACTGTATTTAGGTGTGTGGGTTACATTCCTACTAAGAACGAATTGAGGAAACTCTGACTTACCATGATTTGAGGGCTAGAAGTGATCTCTTTCCCTGTGGAATTATAATGTGTTTCTGTGTAGCCTGGTGCAATGAGATTCCTGGAGAAAAAGAAAATAAAAAATAGAGGGGTTACTCCTTCTGATTGTGCAGTCAAGCACTCAAATTCAAGTTTTCTCTGGTTGCACAGGAAAGTGTTAAATTCTTGGGTCCTCCCCCGTGTGAGAAAAGCCCAAGCATGAAAGAGCTGTTTAAATTGGAATTAATGGGAGGGACAAGGACATTCTTGAGTGATGTGGAATAGTACCTGCTTCTTTATGGGACTTCACCTGCTTTGAGGAGAGACTTTAGGAAGAAGCAGAACTGAGGTCAAACCTGATAAAAATGAATGACATGAGCAATGCATTGCTTCTATATATACAGTACTATTTTTATATATGATATATATAGAGAGAGGAAGTATAATTGACAAATAAAAATTGAAGCTATTTAAGGTATGCTATATGATGGTTTGATACACATTGTGAAATGATTAGCACAATCAAGCTTATCAGCATCTGTTACCTCACATAGTTACCATTTAAGTGTGCACATGCACATATGGGTGGTGAGAATATTGAAGATCTACTCTCTCAGGAAATTCCAAGTATAAAACACATCATCATCAAATATAGTCACTATGCATGCATATTAGATATCCAGAATTTATTCATATTACAATTGAAACCTTGAAACCTTTGACCCACATCTTCCTGCCCCCCCCCAACCCTCTTAACCATCATTGTACTCATAGTTTCTAGGAGTTGAGCTCATTTAGATTTCAAAGTTAGTGAGATTATGTTGTACATATCTATCTTTCTGTGCTTGGCTTATTTCACTATGCACAATATCACCCATGCTATTGCAAAAACCTTTCCTTGAGGTTAAATAATAGACCACTGCATATGTATGTGTACATATACCACAACTTGTTTATCCATTCATTTAACAACGGAGACTTAGGTTGATCCCATATCATATCTTTATTCTGAATTATTGTGAATAATGAACCTTTTTTTAAAGAGAGGCATCTCTCTAACAGGCACTGTGTTAGAATGTAATGTGCATAATTTAATTTAGTTCTTTGAATAATCCTGTGAGATACATATCACTCTTCTTATTTTTAGATGAGAATAAAGAGTTTAAAATGTAAAGAACTGTAGCTAGGGAACCTGAATCCAAAGTTGGTACAATTCCATGATACCACACAGTTGCCAGACTTGAGTTGTTTGTGATTTTTTTTTTTTGCAAAAGTAATAGTCTATTGTCGTGGGCGGGGGGCGGGGGAGAAATTCTGCTGTCTTATACACAGTGATCTGGGGATTGAAAGAGATTGAAAGCACAGATTTAGGAGAAATTACTCTTGAAATAGTCTAGCTGCAGGATGAGCAAGATCTGGGGAACAGCAGAGGCAGCGAAATTTGAGAAGAAAAGTTGAATTCAAATGGACCAAATGAAGAGAATGGGGACAAAAGGACAACATGATGCGCAAGAATCATGGGCAGGGAGTGGACAGTTGGTGGGAAGAACACCAATTCTGGAGTGAGATCAGTCCAGTTCTGGTCTTGACTTTGACTTTTTATTTGGCCCTGGAGTTGAATTTCTATGTCTTCTCTTCTGAGTTTCAAAAGATTTTGAAATACAGTCCTTTAATGCTAGGATGCTAGATTGTACTAACATAGAGGGATTTTTATTTCGTTATAGCTTAGTACATTGGAACATTTTCCTCTGCTGTTTCATAAAATAGATAAAATATGTTTCTTCACACCTCATTCATTGTTTTTTATTTATAAAAATATCAAAATACTAGAAATTTCTATTATAATAATAGAATTTCTATTATTTTAGCAGAAAGAAATATTCACTGAAATTCTTGAGACAGTTAAGAGGAAAAACTGATTTGTCAAGGTTTGTGAGAGCCACAAGAAGGAACAGACTCAAACAGCACTTTTCCTTACCCTAATTGCTATTGGTGAGGACATCAGATATAAAAGTACTTACTTGTTCTTTTTCAAATAAAGCACTGCAATTTTTCCATTAACTGTCATTTCATACTTTACTTCAGTTTCGAATGTTTCCTACACAAAATACAAAAACATTTACCAGTAATTAATAAGTGTATATGAACATTTATTTGGCCATTTCTATCTGTTTAAATATTAGCATGCAATATTTTTCTTTTATTTAGCAGTAGACTGCGTGATACCAAATGTCTACCTCTTTTACTTTAATAGCTCAAGCCATTATGGCTACTACATGGATAAATTATCTGACATCTTTGTATCCAAACTTTGAAAGATTAAATTGATGTGCTTTGCAAAGATATATTTGAATCAACAAATATTTATATGACAAATATTTATCTTAGGACAGGGGTTAGAAGATGAAGGTAAGGGGAGTCAGGAACATGTAAAAAATGCCTTTATTTGATCAACTGGGACAGCTTCAAACAAAAAAGAATATTGCACTGTGTTCACACAGACATGCATACACAAAACACATGTGAGCACACACAAAAGGGCGCACACACACTACTGTTGCACATATAAAATCAATATGTGCTTAAAAATCAAGAGCTAAATTGTGTAACACTGCCCATGACTATAGCATAAATTCAGGAAAGGGATCAGCTTCATAAAGAATGCAAGGTGGGCCTCTCTTCAAACATGAACATTTCAAGTAGCAAGAAATCCATAAGAAAAGGCACAGAGGTAGAAATAAGTACATTGTTAAGGAAAGAAAAAAAAAACAATTTCAGGGTGACTAACAAGCATGTCATGTTAAGGAGCAGAAGGGGGGAAAAAAGATGTCTTATTACCGGGACGTGAAGCCACAAAAAGCCTTGAAAATTAGTCATAAAAAGTGTGATATAATGGGTTCCATAGGCAGTGTCAGCCTAATCTTGAACATGGAGTTAATGTTTCATTCATTAAATCTCAAAACATCCATGCAATACACATGCCATCATTATCATCTTTAAGACAAAGATTTCAGGTTTCTGGGTATCTGAGCTTACAAGGGGGAGAACTCACCAAGCTAAGATGTGAACACAAGCTAGTCCTCTGAATTTAGATCCTGTACACTACCATGATGGATCAGAAAAACATAAGGCCTATGTAGCAACTCACCCTAATAGTGAACTTCACAAGTCATAGAGATCTACACTGAACATCTGCTGCATTCATTAATCATCTCCGTCTACTCAATAGCTCCTAAAATTAATATTGATCATCTAGCATGTACCTGTAATGAGACTGTGATTTTGTATCAAGATAAAAATTTCCAAATAAAAACATTTATTCTTACAGTGATGAAGAAATCGCTTGATAGCTGTGAGAGAAAACTATTTATATCCAAAATTTTTTTCTAAAATATTGAGGGAGAAATGGTATCTGACAATTTTAAGAGACTGCATGAAAGCATTTGAAGAAAGCCATGTTGAAGAAGAATCCAACACACATGGATTCCACCAAACTTAGTGGAAATAATTTTTATAGACACCTATTATTGGAAGTAGGGTCTGTTTTGAGGTCTGCTTTCCTAAATTGCTTTGAAAGAACTACTGTGAGGAGCCCTGTCTAGTAGGGGCACATGTTCTCCCAGGGACTTGCATTTTAGAATACTTGTGTAAGTTGTCAGCTCCCAGTGAAGAACACTTCAGAGTGCAGGTAATTATTGAGTGTATCAAGGCTTTCTTTAGCTTTCTTCGTACAACAAATAAAAGTTTGTTGAGTGAATGTTTACGGAAAACGTGTTGTTTCATTTGTAAGCATTATCCAAATTTCAGTGTTGCCTGTTTAGAAAAGGTATAATTTTCAAATTAAAGTACAAATACCCATTCACTTGCAGTATTCTCCTGTTTTAACAGCCATGGTTTTATGTGTGTAGATGGATAGAGAGAAGGAAACATAATAGATAAAATAAGTCGTATCTAATTTTTTGGAAGTACACAGAATAAATTATAAAATTAGTTAAATTCTAATTCTTAGAACCGGACTTGCAAAATAAGGTTAAAAGTAAAATTTTGGATCATAGTGTAAAGGGTCAAAAAAAAAAAAAAAAAAAAAAACACCACAAACATAAATATTAATGTTATTCACCTCGAAGGCCTAAAGCTAAAAACTTCATAAAGTCCAGTTATGCATTAAATATAAATATATGATGTATTTGTATGAGATGTATGTGCGATACACATACACATATTTTAATTTAAATTAAAATTCGGACATGTTTCAGAAGCTGTACCTTCTCTTCTGGTGTTTTGATCTCCCTTTTCCGTAGCGGATGGAGTCTTACGGGATAAACCACTTCATAATCTTTTACCTCCGGGAATTCCTTGGTAGCACTTACTGAGGAAAAATAAAAGGGGAAAACAGAAGGTTAGCTAGGCAGAACCAAAGTGGGCCGGTCAGTGTTGGCCATCCTTACACGTCACCTGTGAACGATGTCACACAGACTGTGTGAGATTCAGGTCAGCTGCGCCAGGAGGCAGACAAAGCCTGAAACACACTTTCTCTCTCAACTCTTCACTAGAATCTGCAACTCCAGATGTCTTCCCACTAAAAGTGTGCCCACGTCTCTGTTGAGTGACAGCATTTCTTTTGCACGTCCCCCCTCCTCTGCTCTCCTGGGTGCCTTCAGTGGCTCCCTGAGCAGAGACACATACAGCAGTAGCGCAAGGCAAAGGAAAGAGGCAGATGCCACCTGGATCCCAGAAGCTAACTGGTCCCACAGTAATTGAGTGGAAGCACTTGGAGAAACATGTGTTATGTAAATGAGATAACCAATGTGCGCCTGGCTGATTCTAATGTTTTCTCTCTTGGGTGTGCCAATAGAAATATTTGAAACTAAGTCCCAGAAAGAAAAGTCTCTTCTATAAGGTTGGTTCATGGAATGGGCTGAGCTGGCATTAAAAATACAAAGAAACTTTTTTTAAAATATTCAAAAACCATGAAAATAAGAGAAACACCATTTGAACAGAGAGGGAACTGGGACGTGATAGGTTACAACCTATTTGCATCCTGCCTGCTCCTCTCCTGTTGCCTCTAGAAGTCATTGTAGAGAGAAGTTCAGAGCTTGCCCAAAGCTAAGGCTGGTTTTCTACTTTCTTTTCCATTTGTGCCCAGGGCCTAACTCCTGAGGAAATGTCAAGGGATGCACTATTTGACAGCTTAGGTGGCTTTTAGGTCCAATCCAGGTGCAGAGAGCAGAAGCCCTCCGAGCAGGAGGCAGCCCAGCCCCACACCGAACTAAGACTGGAGGAGAAATGCTTTCTTTTTCTTCTCTGGAGGCCCTCTTAAGGCAATCCATGCTCATCCCATTAAAAGACTCAAACTAAACTTCTATGGCAATAGAAATTCATGCTGCTTTGGTTGGCCTTTTAATAAAGGTAACTGAGTCTCTGACTAAGTGTTATTTGTCTGTGAGTCACCCAGGAGGTCTGTACTTCTATACCTTATCCAAAATGATTTCCCACAGAACAAATCATTCATTGCTTAACATTTTCTTCCAAAATGAGAGCAGAAATTCAAAAATTCCTAGTGATGTCAAATCTTAATCATTTTAGGATGGGTTTAATTCATTTGATCACTCAAGAAACATTTACATTTCACTTGGAAGATTAGAAAAAAATATTAAGTTTGCTAAGAACTCTTATAGTCAAAAATGGGGTCTTAAAAATAACGTAAGAGCTTTTCTTTTAGTGGCTTGAGATTTGCTCTTAATAAGCATTTCAAAAACACTTAAATCCATGGTACTGACATGAGAATAACTTAATTTGGGCTTCGGTTAAAGTGTTTATAATTGTTTGAAAAAAGGGTGCAGATTAAATAGTACTTAAAGCTTGTTCAAGTAGTCTACAATTTATGCAAATAAATGCAGAATCCCCTATAATGTGTTTGAAGGGGCCATGTTCATTTGCATGGATAAATTCTAGTCAGTTGTGACAAATTAAGCCCTTTTCATGTTGTCACACTTCAAGAGCAACATCACCAGGTTCCCCCGTTACTCATTTCTTGGAAGCAGTCACTAGGTACACTTTATTTTTAATTAATTTTTGGACAAGAAATAATACCATTAGTTTCAAAAACTTTTTTCAAAACGAATATACAAAAAAATCTAAAGAAATTTTAAATGATCATTTTCTCTCCATCCAGTTCAATTTTCCCAGTTATTTCAGCACAACAAGAAACCAACAGGTAAGAAGATTCATCCCTTTGACACCGAGTTGCTGTACTTCACCAATGTTGCAACCTCAGTGACTTCTTAAAATCTCTATTAGTGGTTTTTATCTGCAACACGTATGATTCTAACAAGAACTATTAGAGCAGGCTCCCTTTGGGTCATAAAGTGATAACTGCCCAAATGAGTCTTTGCATAAAAGCAGAAGGTGGTAATACACACGCTCTGTTCAGAAGGAGCAAGAGGGAGAGGGGTCAGTCCACTCCATACCAGTTTTCTCTGCTGTGCATGCTGAGCCCCAGGCTTCTGGAAAGGCTTGGCATCCTCAGGTCCCAAGCAATCATGAAACTACAAACAGGTTCTTAAACACAGACTCAAAATGTGCAAGTTCATTAAACAATTTCTTTGAGCACTTCCAAATGGAAACCAAAAAACAAAGCAAAACAAACAAAAAAGATTTTTTTAAACAACTTCTCACTCTTTTTTTTTTTTTTTTTTGGTATGAAACAAGTGAATTTCCAAGTAATTCTAAACTCTTGCAACACAGTAAATTCTCTAACAAAAACAGACAAAATTTCCCTGAAAGGCTCTTGTTTCCTGAAAGTTGGAAGGCCCCTGAAATAATGAAGATCTGAGACACAAAAATTTGCACAGCAGATATAGGGAAATAATTGACCTAAATATTCATCCTCAAGCTAGAAGGAGATAGCTCAGCCTCTTCCCAGCAGAATAACATCAAGTTAATTATTTGGAAGCCTGTGGAACAAACACAGCTAACTGCCATCCAGGGATTACACAAATCCAAGGTGTAACACAATATGTTTCCACTAATTTATTTTAATACTTGCTTTCTCCCTCCCACAGAACTCATATGTTGGCTTAGTTTGGCCAGCAAAACTGGATCAAGAAAAAGAAAATTGTGATTTTGGTTAGAGTTGGTGAGATATATCTATGTTCATTTGTTTCAGAAAAAGCAAAACTTATTTACAAGATTAATATGGACAACAACAACAAAAAGATTGCAATATGAGATCTTAGTCTGGATTGTTACTTTATATTTTAAAGCATGTCAGGCCATTTTGGAGATTAGAAAATTAAGACATAATATTGATATTTTTTTTATTTCTGTTCAAATCTGTTTGAAACATTTTAACTGAACAATGACATCAGCACTGAATTTGGACTTAGGTAATGACATTGACTTTAGTTCTGAGCTTTTGTATTGCTCCTCAAAACACCTTGACATTTTAAACTTCAAGCAGTAAAAATGAGTACACACCTTGAGAAAAACACATCCTAATGAGGCATATTATTTTGGTTGTTGAGATTACATTGTATACACTGTTTTCTGTCTTCTAGTCTCCTTATAATGACAAGAAAGAATGACAGTTTGAGAAAAAAATAATTTTGAAAATCAGTGTATCCCCAGGATATTCTGCTGGAATACCATCAACCCTTCCTCCTTTGTCAGTTATAACTCATTTACTTCCTCACCCCTCAATTGCCTGTCAAATCCTTTTAAATATTTGTGTTTTTTTTTTTCTTTTCCTATGATGAAATCCCATATCATTTTTCTCAGGGGATTGTGAAGCTCATTACAAGCATCTGGTCTTATTTTACATCTCATTCTTTTATTTCAAGTGTCTAAGAACTGGGCATAATCATCATCGAGGGGCATGTATGCATCGTATTTATGATGGGGACAGAGAAACAAAGAGATGAGGGAAAAATTGCTTAAATTCTTACATTCGGGCTAAAGAATAAACCCCCATGAGAAAATTAGCATGAATATTTCAGTGACCCAGGAAAGACCTTTGAAAATACACCAGGTGGTAAAAGAAGTGGGACAACTTTCTGTTCCGGATGGAAGATGAGAGGGAGCAGGTCCTCATTCTCACCCCGCCACCCTGTCCTACGTGTGATGTCCCATTCTGGGGCATGACTTCCAGGGACACTGCATCTCTCAGCGCTGTGTTGTGAAGGCACACTCAGGAGGAGCAGAAACAGTGGGGGTCCCTAATTTCACTGTAAATGTTGTCATATTCCTGGGCACCCAGTGTCAGCCATGAGACTTAGTCAGTAGATCAGCCTGATCTCTACCCTCTTGGACAAAGCTAGAACTCATGCAGTACTTATGTTTGACTGAGTGGGTTCCTCAAGAGTTGTGGCTGAGCATTTCTGGAAAAGATAAAGAATGAAGATTCCTATGGATTTTGACTCAAAAAGTAGGAATTTTAAGTCAAGTACATGAATGCCTATCATCATCCCTTTATTTAAGGATATGAAATAAAATTTTTACAAGTCTGGAAATCAAATTGGAAAACCACTTTAGTTTTAGTGGGTTTAGTGCAGAATAGATCATAGGAGAGAAGCGTCTTTCCCTCCTAACTCCAGACCTTTTGTTGATAATTGATTCCGTCCCCAGGTCCCAGCAGGCATTTTGAGACCCCAGAAAAGGTTAACTAGGGAGACTCTAGACACTTAGAGTCCAATATGCTGACTGAAGCTGTGGAAATAGAAATAAGCTGGAGGAATGTGTTTCCAAATCTCATTTATCCATACTTTAATGGAGAATTTACCAGAATGGCAAGACTGGCTCCATGTAACATATCATTAAGTACTAGTATTTCTGCACGTTTAAATTCTTAACCATTTGATGCAACAAGCAAAATGGAAGTGAATCATCAACTAATACTTAACCTCAACACCTTTTTGTGAAGTAAAATCAGAATGCTTTCTACACATAAAATTGGTGAACAGTTTATTTCTAGTAGTTATATTTATAATTGCTAGTAATAAAAGTACTAAATATTAATATGTGCAGTCCAAAGGAACATAAAGAGCCTACCAAGCCCCAATCATAGTAGCAGATATTTTCCAAAATCTTTACACAGCCATAACCTGGCAAATCTGTTGCATCTTTAATACACTAAAAACGTCAATATGAGTTTTGATCAATCCCACTCTTTGATTCAGAGACCATATTGCTTATTTAAGTTATGCTGTAAGAAATGTAGCTTTGACTTCTAAATGTTCTCACATCAGACCTGCGAATGTTGGTTGGAGACCTCTCATTTGTCTTCTGGGCATTCAGTCTTCACAGCCCCCAACGGGTAGGTTACAACTAGACCAGTCGGTTAGCAAAATCGGTTGAGGAATAAAAATACAACTGTTCAAAATATTTTATATGGCAAAGGTATTGGGAGCAGATAAAAAGCAAGCAGTTCTCTGATGCACTTCACAGAACCTGAAAAAAAGAGTTACTGCCTACCTGGGGCTGGAGAAAGGAGGAAAGTGAGGACCAGAAGGCTCCCTGGCAGCATGCTGGGTGATTCCAGGAGCAGCTCTCGGCTCACACCTGCACACCTGTGCGGCTGGCTCCCTCCCTGCCTCCTGAGTGAGACAGAATGAAACTCCCTGGCTCACTGTCTCCACGCAGGAAGTGTTTACTGAAGGTGTTGCACAACCTCCACTGTGGTCCTGCAACAAAGGCACAGGCGGAAGTGCTGGCTGCTTCCCTCCTGGCTGGTTCCAAGATTCCTTCATCATAAGCTGTTGTTTCTCTCCCCCTTTTCTCCCTGTTCCCTGTGCAAAAGAAGCCCATTTTCAGTATGTTGCTGTAGCCCAATGGTCACATGCAGGTAACTGCTTTCACGTATGTTGGTAAATGTGCCAGTAGTTTATCATAGGCATACTATATGTGTGTGGTGTATAGAACATACTTATGCATATGTGCGCCATGTATATAGCAATGTAGTATATATTATATGTATAATTAAACATATGTTCTGATATATAATTTTTAGCTATATTGGCAAACAGTTATTCAGAACGTTATTCTTCCCTCACATACATATGTGGTTCTGAAGATCAATCTCCAAGTCAATCTAATTATTATGTCAATTTCTCCTTTCCCATCAGCCTGGGTTCTATTTTCACATTATCCCAGGGAGCTGGAATTATCCTGAAATAAGAATGCATGACAGCAGGAGCATGAAGTTTTCCAGATTCTGGGGTGTCTCATAACTGACAACCGGGAAGCAACAGGAAACTCTGAAGCACAGAGGTTGATATTTCAGGGCCTGTGATAGTGAGACTAAGTTGGCGTGCATGGAAATCATACTACATAACTGATAAAGTAATTAATTAATCGGGCTTTTTATTAAGTTCCAGGGACTCTCCCAAATCCATTATACTTGTTATATGTTTTAGACACTAGCTGCTGTGACTGACTGAAAGACCTGAGCAGCATAATTATAGAGGAGGAAAAGTTTATTTGGAGGCTCACGGTTTCAGAGGTCTCAGTCCACAGACAACCAACCCCATTCCTCAAGGCTCAAGGTGAGGCAGGACATCATGGCAGAAGAGTTTGGCAGAGGGAAGCGGCTCACATGATGATCAGAAAGCAGAGACTCCACTCTCCAGATACAAACTATGTACACTGCAAAGCCACACCCCCAATTCCCACCGTCAGCCACACCCTACCACCTCACTTACCACTCAGTTAAGCCCTATCAAGGGATTAATTCACTGATTGGGTTAAGACTCTTACAACCCAATGGTTTCTCCTCTGAACCTTCCTGCCTTGTCTCACACGTGAGCTTTTGGGGGACACCTCACATCCAAACCATAACATTACATAATGCTAATAACACTCATGTATTATAAATACTGTTTACCTCCATTTCATATGTGAAAAAAATTGGAGTTTAAAAACATGAACTATTTCAAAAGATTAAGACTCAAGTCATCTTTACTACATATATTAAGAAGATTAAGCAGTCTGCTCAAGTTACTTATATAGAAAGTGGCAGAGGTACTTTCTGAGCTCTTAGCCATATATGTCAGTGTTTCTCAATTGCTTAGCTGACTTATGTACACAGACTTATTTCTATTGATAAGATTCCTATGAAAGAGAAAACCCTGAGAACAATTTATTACTACAAACCCCACATCCAGGCCACTAAAATTTCATATTACTTTATGGATTCAGAAGCATATTATCATCATCCTAGAATAATTTCAATGAAAATGAATTCCTTCACATCATCATAAAAGCATCAAACAACAATCATAGGGATTTTTAAGTTATTATAATATTTATCATTATTTTATAGCATATCATAGTTATTGAACATTTCAACCACCATGATTAAGAATCTCATGAGGATAGGAAAGGTAGCAGAATACAACAGTTACTAATAGGGCATTATGTAAAAATGTGGATGTGTAACCGATGTGATTCTGCAATCTGTATTTGGGGTAAAAGTGGGAGTTCAAAACCCACTTGAATCAAATGTATGAAATATGATATGTCAAGAGCTTTGTAATGTTTTGAACAACCAATAAAAAAAAAGAATCTCATGGGATACATGTAAAATACTTGGTCTCATAAATAGTTCCTTGCCTCTACAACCCAAGTTCTATAACTCTGTGCTTTGCAGGGAAGAGACAGGATATATCCACTTTGAATTATTACACACATTTTTCTCCATTAATTCAGTACATATTTCATTAGTACCTAGCATATGTCAGACATTGAGATCACAACTGGAAAAATCAACCATTCGTCTGGGATGCTTACAGTCTGGTGAAGGAGACAGGAAGATCATTACCATGGATCTTCATGCAATGTCACCAGTTCATCGTGGCATCTTCTTCTAGTGAACGACGGGTGTGGACAGAGGTCAGAGGCCTTCCCCAGCAGGGCAGGGAAGGCTCCCTGAAGGAGCACTGTGGTCAATGAAGAATGAAGTGGACAAGAGTGTAGCACCTTAGTTTATGATTGGGGATACTGGGTATTGGTGCAGTAAGGAATGCCTGGGAATGGGAAGGGTCCCACCAACCCGAGAAGGCTCTTGCTGAACTTGACCCGGGCACAGCACTGTCTCCAGTAAATGGCTAAGGAAGAAGAAATTCACAGGGTACCTTGAGTTGTTATTTCACACATAAAAAACGATTCTCCAATTAGATTTCAAAATCCCTGGGGCTAGTACCCATGTCATATTCTCTATTGTGATTTCAGAACCCACCATGGGCTGTTTCCTAAGATTCATAATTTTGGCTGTGATTAAAATAAATATATATATATATATATATATATATATATATATATATATATATATGATTGTTGTGCTGTGTTCTCTATATATTTATGTTATTCAAGGGCTTCAAAATACTTTCAAAAATAATTTCTTAGAGCCCAGCATGGTAGCACTTGCTTATAATCTCAGCTACTTGGGTAGAAGGATCAAAACTTTGAGGCCAGCCTCAGCAACTTAGTGAAACCCTGTCTCAAAGAAAAAAATTAAAAGGGCTTGGGATGTAGCTCAGTGGTAAAGTGCCCCTGGGTCCAATCCTAATAATAACAATAACAACTTAGAACCATCAGTCATAGAAAGGGAGACCTTATCTTGACCTCTGAAACACCAGAAGGACCTCACTGTAACTCTGTTTTGCCCCCAGGACCAGAATAACTATTCTCCCAGGCACTCTATTCACTGAGTTAGAAGAGAAATTGCACATGTGAAAGACATATCTTACTGTTTTATTTGTTTCTATCTACTCTTTGATAGAGAGGAATTCCCATCCCAGTGTTATGGGGAAGGCTGAACACATGATGATCTTCTGCACAGGTGTTTTAGATCTAAAAATATCGCCAAAGAGCTCATGTGTTAGGCATGAGCTAATGTTCAGAGGTGAAAAGATTCGGTTATGAGAGATATAACCTCATGAATGGACCACTGGGTGGTAACTGTGGGGAAATGGGGTATGGTGGGAGAAAGTAGGTTAATGAGAGTGTATCCTTGGGGATTATATCTTGTCCCTGGCTTCTCTCTCTGTTTCTCTCTCTCTCCCCCCCTTCCCCCCTCCCTCCACCCTTCCTGGCTGCCATGAGCTGAGGAACTCTACTCTGCCACACCCTTCTGCCATGTAGTTCTGCCTCACTTCATGTCCAGAGCAATGGAGTTGGCCCACCATGGACTGAGACCTCTGAAACTGTGAGCCCAAATGAACTTTGCCTCCCCTAAGTTGTTCTTGCTGGTATTTTGCTTACAGCAACAAGAAGCTGACCGACACAATGGACAGAAGAGGTTGACAACAGTTCAAGTCATGTACTTGCAGCATGGGGAGAAGGGCCACATGTCAAATTGGGCGAAACTGAGGTTGCTCAGTCAATCACCAGGGCTGTGAGAGAAGCAGGATTTGTGGTGTCAACCAAGGAGGTGGCTCCTGGTTCCCATAGGAATATGTGAGTGGTTCCCATCAGTGATTCTGCCTATGGCAGGGAACTGAAGCTCACCACTCAGGAATAAGTAGGAGCTAGGCCTGGTCCCCTGACGAGGAGAGTTGTTTGACTAGGGAACATGATCTGTGGGAGCAGAGTACAAAGCAGATAAAAGACTTACAACCCCTTTCTCCTTTTTCTTCTAATACCCATAACTTCCATGCTCTGTTTGTTTTTTGAGACTGAGCCTCCTTCAATCATGAATTCCACATGCAAATATTTATTCAGTTGCTACTGTGTTCTGTCCTTGTCTGCTTCCGTGACATGTGCTTCTGGGGTGGATGAGGCAATCAGTAAAGTTGAGAGAATAACGATGTAAGAATAGGCAATCCTTTCTGATTTTTTTCTCAACTTTTAACTGCTTGAAGTTGTTAGCCTGCACTCTGGTCAACCTGTGACCATTTGTGCACATGTCTGGATGACAACCATTCATATATTCAGAGTCTATTAATTTTGTTTAGCAGATGGATCTGCTTAGCAGGTCAAGAATAAATTCATTTCTAAAAATGACTTAGAAAGAGAGGAAATAAATGCAAATGAACATAAAAGAACTGAGAGAAGAGTCTGAAGAAAG